GTCTTTCTGATGTAAAGACAAATCAGAGTTTGTGCTAATCAGGAATGCGTTTCCACGCTGAGTAATTATGGCAAACATATTGCTTGACTAACGCAGTTTAATGCAAGTCTCTGTAGTCTCCAAATGCATTTTTAAGAAAGAATTGTTGCCACAATTCAATTTGAGCAAACGCTGACAGATCAGCGCCATGCACTTATTCAGTCCCGTGCAAGTATAAATAAATATATAAATACATAAAAGGCTGGGCAGAGAAGAAAAGCTTGTTTGAGATGGTTTCTTTTAGGGATATAAGTAAACTTACAGAACATGAATTAACTGAATATAATTTGTTTGTGTTTAACTGTCACTAATAACTTTTATCCAACAAATGATGTGCATTCAACATACTGGCACAGTATGTGCATCAGTACAGTGGTTAGCGATGCCTCCCATTAAGAAGGTTGCAGGTTTGCTTTCTGACATTTCAAAGATGATTTGGCTCATGCATGTAGGTTGACTGGTAAGTTTAAATTGCCTTTTGGTGTGAGTGAATGTGTCAGTGGTTGTTTGTGTTTAGGTGATGCAGTGATGTCTTTGAGGCCTCTCCAGGGTGTTTCCCACCTCTCATGGAGTTAGGCACCAGCTCCCCATGACTCAGAAAAAAAAAAAAAAAATCTTACTAATTGCCTAATTTACAAAGACTGATTTAAAACTAGCACACATATAAGCAAGCATGTTTTGAAACCAGGTAAACTACACCTGCAGAAAAATAAACTTTTCTCTTTACAGATGTTTATTTTATTTTTATTTTTTTCCGGCTCCTACCTTCGGGGTCGCCACAGCGAACTGACTCACACAAAGTCTGGGTAATTGTTTTTACGTCAGATGCGCTTCCTGAAGCAACCGCAGACCAGTGAGCTACCACATCACTCTGTGAGGAGCAGAGAGCTGCTAGGGAGCCCAAGGGAGCAGATGATGGGGGTTGAGGGCCTTGCTCAAGGGCCCAGAGTGGGGGGAATGAGCGTTGAGACAGGTGTGGGTGTTTCACCTTTCTCGCCCACATTTTGATGTTGTCTGTCCAAGGGATCAAACCATCGAACTTCCAATAACAGGTGCGCCTTCTCTAACCTCTGTGCCACCACTCCACATCTCTTCCCAGGGAAAATACATCCATCCATCCATTATCTTTACCCGCTTATTCCATTTTGGGTCACGGGGGTCACTGGTGCCCATGTCCAGCAATCACTGTGCGAGGGGT